GGCCCGGGGCTGTCGGCAGCCCCAGCCCCAACGCTGACAGCTGAGACCACCAGGCGCGGTGCGTGGCTGCGCCAAGGAAGCTGGTGGTGCAGTCTGTGCTGCCATCTCGGCTCACCAGCTTGTGTCTCCTCGCATCACGGTTCTTGTCACAGACACTGGTCTGCAGTGCCTGCCCTGAGGGCTGGAGCGGCAGCACCCACTTGTCCTGAGACCTCTGCAATGCTGAATCCTACCCAGGTGATGCTGCCTTCTCTTACTCCGTCCAGCAGGACCCTTGACCTCAGGTCTGGCTGTGCCCTCCCTGTTCAGAGGACTCGTATGCTTGTATTCCAGTGTGTATGAGATCCACGTGTCACACCACGTGTCCAGTTTGTAATTACGTCTGTGTTCAGTTGGGTGGAGGTGTCCAGTGCATTATCAGCTTCAGACAAGGGCCACCCAGTGCTGTCCCTAGTCCCACTGTCCCACTGCCACTGACTCTGCCTGTGTGCTGGGGCTCTGCAGATTTGACCCCCTCCGAGACTGCAGCGGCTGCTCTCTGTAGGCATCCCTTGGGGCTGGAGCAGCAGAGCAAACAGAGCCCACCATGCAAACAGCATCGTGCAGCCGCAGTGGCTTTTGTCTTTAATGAAATGAGGACAGAGATGGTGCTGGCTCCGGGGATCAGCTGGAGGGTTGTGGCCTGGGACACATGGCCACTGCCCGTTCTGTGTCAGAGGACTCTGCGCTGACCTAGCAGCGCAGTGTCTGCATCCTGCAGCTTTCAGGACAGGTGATTTGGGCTAGGAGGGCTGGCTAGGGCGGCCACGGCGCTCCCGTGGGGTGGTCAGAGCCCCACAGCCCTGCGCTGCTTGTTGTGCACTTGTGATCTGTGGCACAAGGTGAGTAGTGAGGAGCCTGGGACTCCCCAGCCTGCTTTTTGCCAGGCTGGAACCTGGGGCTCCTGTTTGGCAGCGGTGGAGCACAGGGAAGGCCGTTGTGGAGCGGTGCTGTTGCTGATCCCCAAGCGTGCTGCATGTTACTTGGGGCTTAAAACCCAACATCACCATTTCCTTCTGTCTGGAAATGTCCGTGTGAAGCCATACAGTGTGAGGTGCAAGCGTGTGGCCTTCAGTGGCTTCCTTAGGTTACTTCAGTCACCTCCTGCAACGTGAGCCACTTGGGCAGCGCTGCCTCCTGCCTTGGCCACACGGCCCTGCCCAGAGCAGCGCTGGGACTGGATTCCAGAGCCCTGTGGGGAGAAGAGCAAGAGTGAAAAACAATTTGGCTGATCGGAATGGGCTTGATTTAGACAATGCCACCGTTTCAGTGAAGAGTCAGCAATGCTGTAGTGCAAGTGCAGCACTAAAATTGGATATTTAGCAGTGGGAAGCAAGCAGGAGCTTCCTCATCAGCTCTTCAGAATGGTTTTTCCCACCTGTGAAACCTCCATGTGGTCTTGGCCAGAGGAACACCACCATCTAGCCTAACCCCAGGAGCTGGAGGAGAGCAGAGCCCTCCGGTGCGGAGCAGCCATGCGGCAGACGCTGCTGTGCCAAGGAGCCTGAGGTCCCACTCGTGTTTGCAGAGGGCTGACCAGGCAAGACGTGCTCTGGGCCTCCCTGATGTGCAGAAAGCAACCACAACCTCCAGCCCTTGCTGGTGCATCCTGGGGCTGTTCCTTCTCAATCTCCTATCTGCCTGACTGTGAGGGGTGAGCACAGCACGCAAGCAGCCCAGCTCAGGACTCTGCTCTGATCTATCCCTGTCCTGCCTTCCATCCTGGGAGACCAGGAAGCAGCATTTGCCCAGAGTTCATCAGGCCAGTTCAGTGCTGGGGACAGGAGCCCTGGTGCCCACTGTAGCCCTCCCACAGTCACCTGGGCTGGAGCCTTTGTCCTGTTGTGGAGCTGCAAACTTCATGCAGGTGTTGAGGGCACAGCGATGCTCTCTCTTCTTCCCTGGTGTCACAAGAGCAGATGGTTGGGATGGGACTGCCAAGGGACTTCTTTCCCCTTCGCACACATAGGCAGGAGAGGACATCTGCAGGACCCTGCTGCAGAGTTGGCTGCCCGGAGAGGCAGCTCATCGCTCTCAGAAGACACCAAACAATATTGACCCCTGCCAGTTGTTCCTGTGTTCTGCTGTGAACTCACATCTTATTTCAAGGTTGAAAATGTGTTTAAATTTCAGCTCCAGCCACTGGATCTCATTTTATCTTCATCAGCCAGGTGGGACTGCAGTCCTTTCCTCTTCAGTACCTTTGCCAAGTGCTAACGCCCTGGCAATGATCTGCTTCCCATGCCACCCTCCTTCTGATGCTCGGAAAAGGAAACAACCCTTACAGATCAGATCATAGGGATTGTCTTCTGGTCTGTGTTCATTTGGGAGCCTCTTATTTGAACTCTTGTCCTGAATCACTGTGGTGTGCCTTTAGGGTGAACTTCAGAGCTGGCTGTAGTGTCTTGGTAAGGCTCTAAGAGCTGCACCCAGGACCAAGATCCCTTCTGTGCACCAAGGGGCCGTGTTATCCTTTGGGCTCAGCATTACACTGAGTACAAAATGCTGTTCAGTTTCTGTGGTGATGCCCAAGTTGTTCTTGGAGACAGAGCCTCCCATGCTCTACATTTACCCCGTGTGTTTCCTCACGCTGGGTCCTGCAGCCAGGAGCTTTGCCTGGCCTCCCCCAGCTCCCCGGCTCTGGGCAGTGCCTGGCCATGCCCGCAGTGCTCACTGGCTGCCTCTTGCTGTTACAGGCCTGTCAGCACCCGTGCCCAGAGGCAGGAAGGGGAAGAAGACGAAGAACCAGATGCTGCTTCCCGAGATAAAGAACGCGGACTGGCTCGCCACCTGCAACCCTGAGGTCGTCCTCCATGACGACAGCTACAAGAAGCACCTCAAACAGCACTGCAACAAGTGAGTGCAGGAGCCCACGCCAGCTTATGGAGACCGTAGGCTGAGGACCTTTAGTGTGAGAAGGGTGGGAGGGAGCTGCAAAGGGCTCACAGCCCATATGGGATCACTGGACCCGCTCTCGGATGCTGCTCCTGGTAACAGGAGCTGTGTCCCGAGCAGCCGCAAAACCTCTGGCTGCAGGGCTCCGGCAGATGACAGGGCTGAGCATCGCAGTGTGACACCACACGGCCGTTGCCCATCCTGCTTTGCAAAAGTTGGTCCTCCCACGTGGGGAAACTCGGTGTCAAAACTCGGTGTCGAGCAGGTTTGCCTGGCCTCGCTGACCCTTGGAGCATCCCCTTGCAAATGGTCTGGCGAGGACTTCTGGGCCATATCCTCGGCTGGCCTCTGAGAGCCTGCATGCTAGCATGTGTTCCTCTGCTGCCCCGGACAGGGTTCTGCTGCGGGTGCGAATGCTCTACTACCTGAAGGCTGAAGTGCTGGGGGAGGCCGCGGACAAAGCCTTCGAGGGGACCCCTGCCAGGTACCTTATGGAGTACCCCTGCTATGCTTCTCGAGGAGGTGGTGGTGTCACAGCCACCAGCCCAGCCATGTCTGGGCTCAGCGCAGCTCCGGATGAGTCAGACCCCATAGTCACATCCCCAGGTCTTGCTCAGGCAAAACTTCGTACTTAGACGGCAGCTCTGACTGAGCAGGGACTGCAGCCATGGCAGCCTGGCTGAGGCAGCTCTGAGGCTGCAGCACCAGTCTGTGGAGGGGTGAGGACACTTGGGGACACCCTGCAGAAAAATGTCTCCACATGCTGCCAGACAAACTGGCCTTTAATCCAGAGCGGGAGCCCACAGAGACTGCCTGGCTCCCAGGACCAGGCCTTGGGTCAGACCATTCCCCATTGCTGTGGCCTGCAGTCCTTTCCCAGCGCTGGGGACGAGGCAGACACGGGCTCTGTTAGTGCCACTGAGCCTGCATGCTGCCAGCTCCTGACTGCCCTGCAAAGATTCAGCTCTCGGTGCCTTGAGCCAGGTCTGCTGCCTTCCCCAGTGCAGCTTCATCAGCACGAATCCATGCAGAAGTGGGCATTGCAGGCCACCCCAGCAGACATGCTGTTCTTCTGGGGCTGGTAGTTTTGAAGTTGTTTCCCCTGAGAAGCACTGTTCAGGTCAGATAGGATCTCCAGTCCTCTGGTATTGCGTGGCTGGGAGGAGAGAGGGGCTGTGCAGCCTTCCCATCTCTGGAGAAGGAGGTTGGGGAAGGCAGCAGATTGCAGTGGAGCCAAGGCTCCAGCTCTGACCCCAGGAGGATGAGGACACCCGGCCATGGCAGGGCCCCAGATCAGCCTCGCCATCATTAGCTGTCCCAAGCCAGTGAGTGGTGGTTCCTGTCTCCCCCTGCCCAGCAGTGCCCAGTGCGCTCCAGTGTCTGGTGAGGCTGGGAGAGGGGCATTCATACCTTGTTTGCCACAGGGAGCTGGATGTGCTGCTGCCGGACATTGACTACGTGGAGATCCCCGTGGACTGGTGGAACGCTGAAGCCGATAAATCCCTGCTTATTGGTGTCTTCAAGCATGGTGCGTACCCAGCTTGTCTGGTGGGTGCTGGTGTGTGAGAGTGACCCAAGTGAAGCACCTGGCCAGCGTTCCCGTACCTGGAGGGGACATCACGCCAGGGTGAGGGGGCAGAGCTGCAGCTGCACGGCATTGCCATGCAGGGCCAAAGCAGCCCTTCCCAGATGCTGGCAGCTGCAGCACTGCCAGCTCTTTTGGGTGGTGGGGTGGGCATGCTGTGGTGCCCAGGGTGGCTGTGGCCGTGCGTGGTGTGGCAGACTCCTCAGGAGCAGCATGCAGTTGCCACATAAGGCACAGGAGGAGGGCACAGAGCCTCTGCTGGTGTCGTCAGCCTTGTCCTGAAGTCCTCTGCGGCTTCCAGGAGCCTCAGGGCTGGTTGCTCCCAGCTGCAGCTTGCCATAGGTGCTGTGCTCAGCCCCCCGGGTGCTGCACTGCCCACCAGCCAGGGCTGCCTGGTGGGATGGAAAGGCTGACCTTTCTCTTTGCGTTCGGCCTAGGGGCTGCAGAGCAATTAGCAGCTTTTGAAAGAGGGTTCTG